GAATAGTCTTCCCTCTTCTCCTTGAGTTTCCACAGGTACTTGCTCAGCTCTGTGTCATTTTGCCATCTCTCGTGGTTGAACGACATTCGGTGGTTGTGCCATCTAGTCTTAAAATCTGTCGCTGTGAGGCCAACGTACGTTTCAGTTTCTTCCCTGGTAGCGACTGTGGCTTGGTAGACAACCTCGCTTTGCAAACATTCCCCTCCTAAAGGGCATTCGTTTTCGTTTCTGCAGTTGCACAATTTTGGGGGGGTGCTTTCTACGGACATTTTTGCGTTCCTCATTGTGGCTTTGTTATGCCTGTCTATGATCTGTTTCATATTGGGTGGGCACGAGTAGCTCAGTTTAATGGTGTTCCTATTGAAAATTTTCCTCAGTTTGTGGGTGACTGGAAAGCATTTGTCTGGATGTTTCTGTTAAATGGTGGGTTAAACCTAATTATGTTTCTTCGTCTTTTGGTTTGGTATTGCGGTCGTTGCGGTTCCGGTTCAGTGAAGTTCAGCTTGTATGTGTAGCTGCTCTTGTGTAATGCATCTTGGTAGGGAGGTGCGGCTTTGTTAAACATGTCTTTGTCAGAGGAGATTTCAGAGAGTTTTTTATTAACTGCTTCGGGGATGTTTCTTGGTTTGTTAGGTGGGTGGTTAGACTTGTTGTGTACGTATAGAGGGGTAGTTGCTGGTTTTGAATAGGGTCTGAATCTGCCGGTTGTCATGTCAAGCAATTAGATAGAGAAGGTTGATGATTTTCTTTTTTGCTTCGATGGTAATTCTAAGGTTATTTTGAGCAAATATTGTGCAAATCTGTTTCTTAATTCTCTCCACTTTTCGGGGTGTCTGGTTTATAACTGCACGGTAAAATCCGCTGTTAATTTCTGGTATAGTCGCAAGCTGTAATAGGAGGTAGCAGCCCACTAGTTCACATGTCTCCGCTCCATCATAACTTCCCATGGTGACATCCAAAAGTCCGTTGGAATTTTTATTCTGCCATGGGGTCTCATTGCTAAATAGTAGTGATTCCTTAGCAAGTAGGACGATTTGGCAATCATCAGGGGGGATGTTCATGTAGTTAGACGCGAAGTCAAGGGCACATCCCAGCAGATCTTACGTTATTGAGGGGTAGAACTCTACAACATTGAAGCTGATGAAAGCAGATTCGCATTTATTTGGCAAGTTCTTAAACCACTGCAGCACAGAGGATATGTTCTTCCATTGACTAATGCCTGTTGCATTTACAAGATTCTGGTTAATATTTTCGAGAATTTTCTTGCTTAATTTTCCAATTTCCTATTTTGACGGGTTGATCAAACAACAAGTGGGTCGGTTTAAGAAATTGTCTTTATGGTCTTTAAGTGTTACGAACACTTCCCTCTGGGCGGTAACTTNTTAAATACTGTCTGAGTGCGTAAGCACGAAACTCGAAGTTACAGTGAATCATGCGTTGTCTCCATTAATCTTACAGTCTATGATTCAGCTCTACACTTATGTGTATTGAGCACTATCAAATGGTGTTGGCAACATTTCTATTTTATCATTATTAAATATGGATTTCCAAATTTTTTATGTTTCAATCCACAATTGAGGCTATATCTACAAAACTAAGACCCAGGCAATGTTTTCAGGTTCCAGCTTTTATTAAAATTTTTGTTAAGCTTTAAAATATCTTATCAATTCTGAACATTGTTCAACACCCGAACCTATTTTCATAGCTTTGGAATCCTCAATGTGAACGCATCAGTTTGTTGGAATTCTCAGCAATTATGTGCAGTAAGAAGTACTAATTTCTGAAATTGTCAAAACCTAAGTTTTGAAATGATACATAATCTTACTATAAGAATTCAAAAAACTTTCCACCTTTTTGTAAATAGCAGCCTAAAAAATCAACAAACACCTCCTGTAACCCCAAAGGTGGTCTTAAAAAGTGTATGGAACTATGCAATGCAGCACTATGCAGTATTCATTAATAGCACCATAATAATTGGTAATTGTACCATTTTATTTAAAATGAGGTTGAATGAATAAATCATTTCCAATTACAACATATAATATGGTACAATAATTATTATTTTAACATTGACCCTCAAGTGTGTTAAAAACTACAACTAATGTAATGCTTTTTTCATTTTAAACGCGCTATTACATTATAAAATTGCAACATTTGTACTTCCCAAACAAATATAAAATGCAAATTTGAAAAATTCTTGTTCAAAAATGGGACATCCAGTACTACCTTAGCTACCATTTCTATTCTAACATTTCATGTCTTAGAGAATGCACCACCTTTACACAAAGCCTCAATAAAAATTCGTTGGAAATCTCTATTTTCAACCATATGCATAACAAGAAATGAGATGGTTTTTCCACATGCCCCAACTACAGGGTAGCAAATGGTGTGCTTTGGAGCCCTTGTCTTACAATCATGATCAAAATAAACAGTGACCACTAATTTCTCATTATTCAAAGGACGGTGTTTTTGTTCAGTGAGCCAACCAAGGACTCCAGCAGGGCTAACATCTTTGCCATGAAACATTTCAGCCTCGCAAACTTCCAAACATTCCTGGACTGCAGCATCTCTACCACTTGTACTCTCCTCGTCCCATGCCAATTCCTCGGTAGGGCCTGTTATCGTATTATCTTCAATAGTGCACAAAAAGTCTTGGAAATTATCAATCAGTGTCTCTTCTAGCTGGCGCTTTGTTGTACCATTCTCAGAATACATAGGTGAAATGATGGAGAAGACATAGTCAGCATCTGGGGCACTGGTACTTGCAGTGAATAGATGTTTGCATACGTCAACATTACGTTTAATAAGTTCATAAGCATCGAAGAGCTTGAGTCCTTCTGAAAATTCCCGCAAGAAGAGCAACCACTTGTTGATTATACTCACTTTAATTCTCCCAATGATATCTTCTTGGTGGGCTTTATTTATGGTACCAGTATATCCATGCTCTGAGATAATGTCGACCAAAGTATCATCAAATGAACTGCAGCTCCTGATCTGTTTAAATATATCCATATCCCCAGAAGTGAAGTGCTCTTCAGAGAGGTCACTCAGGTCAACCTCTGGATTTAGCATTAGTTCAAATACTGACTCGGCCATAAGTGAAGGTGCAGGGCCACCATTGACTAAAGAAACAGCAACAATTTCTCCACAAGTCTTTAATGATTCATTGTGTACATTGTAAATGGAATTTGCTGGTGCTCTGTTGGGAAACATAGATTTCCCAATAATTATCTTTTATCACATTGCTGAAAAATTCTTGTGACAAGGCCCCCTATGTCGATTCCACTTTCTCCACAGTATTTAATTCTTAGGGTATTCTCAGGATTGACTTTTCTTGCTTGACGCTGCCAGATATCGATGATTCTAGATAGTGGAGCTCCTCTTCTCATGACAATGAAAAAATCTTCCTCTTGTTTAACTTGCCTACGCATTGCATTCAGGATACTTGCAGTGTCCAGATAGGTGTCTCCAACCACTGCCTCTTTATTATTATCAGATGGTAACACAGAGCTTGCTGACNTATCTTGGCTTCTTGCCATTTCCATACATGCTTTGATGTTTCAGTGGCATTTCTTTTGTTGGTGTTACAGAAGGATGCTTTGTGGTTTCTGTAATGCTCTTTGAAGTTTGTTGGAAGTCCGACGTAGGATTCTGTTGTTGTGTCGGTTGTTACGATTGCTTGGTAAACAACGTTCGTTTGAAGGCATTTTCCTTCAAGGGGGCATTCTTCTTTAGTATGGCAGTTACATTCCTTGCTGGGTTGTTGCGTTGGGGTCGGGGTGTAAGCTGAAAGAAGTGTTTTGTTATGAGACGCAATGATGGATTTCATGTTTGGCATACAAGAGTAGCTGAGTTTGAGCGTATGTCTATTGAAGATCTTGTGAAGTGGGTGCTCCTTCGGGAAACATTTTACAACAATGTTGAGGAACTTCCTTCCTAGGTTGGTTCAATGCTGGAGTTCCATGGGGGGTTGTACCAAGTGATGTTTCTTTGGTGATTTCTCCTGTGGTTTCTCCCCGAGGTTTGGGTAGTTTGCAGCTTGTATGATAATTTGTGTGTATACCCACTATCAGTGAGTGCCTTTTGGTATGGGGGAATGGCTTATTTGAAAACTTTTTCGTTAGATGAGATGCTCGCCAGTCTTTTGTTAATTTTTCCTGGGATACTCTTAAGTAGCATTGGGGGGTGGTTGCTCTGTTGATGATTATAAAGTAATTTATTTTTGGGTTTCAGAAATGGTTCGTAGGTTCCATTCTTGAGGTCAAAGATTACGTCGAGGAAGTGAACGGTGTTTTTGTTCGCCTCAATCGTGATTTTTAGACCACTGGATTGAAATACATTGGTCACTTGCTGTTTTATATTTTCAATTTCTCTTGGTGTGGCTTTACAGACTGCTAGGCCATTGTCGCGGTAGAGCCCAACTTGGTCTTTGAAGCTGGTGGTGATTAATCCTTTCACCCCTGACTTTTGAAAGAAATTTTGTTTAAAAAACACCTATGTTCACAAAATGGCAAGTGGAGGCCTGTGTTGAAACCTTTGACGTAGATAACCATATATTTTTGAAAAGTAGAATGATCAATGATTCTATTAATACTATTTTTAGTATAGTTAATTATAAACTTGATCCATTAGTTATTAAAAATGACGGCCAAAAGGCGAAAAAAAAGCCATTTGACTGTTTTAGGTGCATCAGTTTGTACCTTTTTTTTGTCTAAATGGTCTGTAATAGACAGGTCTTATGTAGAGAATAAATGCTCTTCAAAAGCCATGTAAAATTCTTGTAAAATACTATAAAACTATCCAAAATTGAGATAAAAAATGTGCATGTATATATATAAGATCTATAAAACTTAATTATGCTGGCTGACCCTTAGTCCATATGTACATTATACTTTGAGAAAAAAATGGCATTTGTCAAACAGAAAATACATGTACACTCTGGAAATAGTTTATCACTGTCACTAATTTCTGCCACTGCCACTAAGTGTCAGCCTACTGTGTTAAAGGTCATGGCATTTATCACAACACAAACTAACATTGCAATGTAGGCAGCCATAGACAGTCTCCACTCTGGCTCTTTTTTTGTGTGTATCCGTTGAGCACTCACAACATCTCCCTCTTTTCAATTTTCCACATTTGACCACATTTACTGACTCATGGCCCAATGCACGAAGAGATATGGAACTGGGTGACAAAGAAGGGCGGCCATAGAGTTTGTGTGATGTGTATGTTCCACAAAGGGATTCGACCAGTTTAGAAGTAAATGACTTCTGGTCCATCAAAGGGGCTACATCCTCCTCCACAGGGCCACTGTTCCAACTCAGATAACACTGCTGATACATCAATGAATTGAGTCTGCAAATATCTAAAAGATGGAAAAATATGCGCATCCACCATTTCTTTGATTTGCGATCAATGGCATATGTTTTCTTTAGTTGATCATTTTTGTCGATAGCACCCATATTCTTGTTGTAATCCTTTACAACAGGTGGAGCAGTTATTGCAACAACTGATCCACCTTGTTTCTTTCTTGACACATTATCCTGTCCCGTAGAAGAATGCACATTTGACAGAAAGGAAACATCTTTTGTGTCCTTCCAGACAGTTACTGTTATCCCTTCAGCAGTTGCGGAGTGATAGTCTCCCCGTTTCAATGTCTTGAGCAAAGGTTTATCTGTGAGGCATTTTGGATATCCCAATCTATTTGAGCGTAGAGTTCCCAAAGTGTAAATTCCAAAGCCTTTCAGTGTTTTGCTAAGGGCAATGCTGCTAAAACAGTTGTCCATGTAGATCACAGGACCACGGTTATCCAGGGTGGGATGGCAAAGATCACAAACCCTTCTCTGCAGTGCCCTTTTCTTTACCTGCATAAAGTTGAAAGCCCCATAAAATATGCACAACAAGAACAACCAGTGCACCATAGTTTTGATCCCCGCTTTATGGGTTTAATTGGCATGTACTGCTTGACTGGATTACAGCCCTTTCCCTTGACCATAGCTTCATCCACGCTTACATTTTGCCCCAAGCTGTAGTTAATTTGAAATGATTGTTTCAAAATTGTCATCATAGGGCATATTTTGTAGAGTGTATCATAGTCCTGATGATTTCTGTCTACAGATTTTTCATTGTCTGCAAGATGGATGTTTGAAAGCAAGGCCCAAAATCTATCTCGAGTAAAAAAGTGGGCAAATGCTGGACTGGTAACCATCCAGTCTGAGCTCCAAATATCATCAAGCTGACTAATTTTATTTATTGAAGTTCCAAATAGAAATCCAATAAAACACCTGATTTCCTCCCGGGTAGTATTTACCCGGGAGATACTACCCAGTATCTACCCAGGTATGCTAGACAGGCCACATTGGCCACATGTTCTGGTCCTGAAAATTCTGGGTAGGCAACATTCACAACTTCGTCCAACTCTCCTCAGTTAATTTCTGGAACTGTTTGGCGTTTTCCTGATTTTCTATTTCAATTTTGTGTTCACACTGGGGATTTCTCGTCGATTTTGATGTAGTCACAAAATCGAGGCTCTTCGTTTGCCACACACAGATGGCAGGTTAGAAATCCCAATCCAACATGGNTGCTCTAAATTGGCCTCAAAGTCACTAATTGGACACAGGTAGAGTGTTATCTTGTTGTAGTCCTTGCCAAGGTCTTCTTTATATCGTTTAAGTGTGAAGAACTCTTTTGGTTTAGATCCAGGGATGAACTGAGCCTCTTCTCCACTGTCAAGAACTAGAATATAATCGTGATCTGCATCAAAAATATCTTTGTGATAGGCACTGAATTTTTCTGTGGCCTTGGTTGATATGGTATTGCACGGCGCCTTGTTTGATATTAACAAAGCAACACGTTCCCCCTTATAGACTTTAACCTCATCTCTCTTTCATCAAAATACTTCATTCCAATCATCATTTGTACATCTATTTCCTTGTCAGCTCTATTCGTACACACCAATGTTTTCCACTCTTTCCCCTTTGATTTCTTGAATGCCTGGAACGATTTCACATTTGGCACATATCTGGCTGAAAATAAAACACTATTGAATATCAGTGTAGGGTAGCGGTTTGACATGGTAAGACTGAATGAACATTTAATAAAAATTGCTAAAAAATGACATGAAATCTCTATGTTTTGTCTTGCATGATAACTTTTGATTTGGTTTACATGAACGTTTAGTAGCTCCAATCCTTGTATCTTTAGCACCATGTATCCCTTTATGATTTTTGGCTTTTCAGAGAATCACTTATTTTGGGAGCACTGCTTCTATCAAATTAGCCAATGAATGGTTTACTTAACATAAGCTCCACCTCTTGAAAAACATTAGGATACAACCACTTTGGTGGTAAGCACCACAATTTCATTTGAACTGTCAAGATTTCAGTCTATGTTCAAACTCAAAATCTGGGCAATTTTTATAATTTCATTATCTCTTCCTACATTAAATGAGTTTCATATGCAACTGAAATCTTTTCAGGATGTAGTCAGCTTCACAACTTATTAAGAAAAAAAGTATTTTATCCCTTAAAAAAATGATACTACAAAAGTGTCATTAATAAGCTACTTTGGTCTAAGATTGTAAATTTAGGAACAATAACCTTTGTTACAGTTTCTGTAAGTCTATCTATTCAAGAACTTACCTATCTATATATCTCAACTGTTATTGACATGTCTACACTAATGCTTGGTGTAATTTAGGGAGAATTAACATATATGTTTACCTTTTGGAAGGATTTATAAATATACAAAGTAAGAGTGAGGCACAATCAAAACATTAAAGTACACCATGGTATATAGAGAAACACCATAAAGTTTTAGCCTGAAGGTCATACTATTGTATTTTGTTTTTCAACTAAAATTATATTTACCTGATGTTGATGGACCAGCACTGCCAGTTATCAAAGGTGATTGAGCTGCTAAGGTAACATCACAAGCAAAAGGTGAATATTATAATCCTTATTGGAATGAAAAGGGAATGTGTCTTTTTGGGTGTATCATATTATATTCAATCCTTAATGCAAAGATCTAACATTCAATTCTTTGCTCTCAAAAGCAGTCAATTTAATACTAATTAAATTTGGACATTGCCATTTTACAAAAGTCAGTCAAAATATAGCAATCATTGTTTACATTTTGGGAGGCTTTCGATTCTTGAATACCAAATATACACAGTAGGAGTGAGGCAGAATCAAAACATTAAACTACACCATGGTTTATAGAGGACCACCCTGAAGTTTTAACCTGAAGGTCATACTATTGTGTTTTGTTTTTCAACTAAAATTATATTTACCTGATGTTGATGGACCAGCACTGCCAGTTATCAAAGGTGATTGAGCTGCTAAGGTAACATCGCAAGCAAAAGGTGAATATTATAAACGTAATTTTTTTTTAGATATGTTTTTTGGGGGTATCTTATTTTGATTGAGAATGCAAAAAAACTATCCATCATAGGACCTTTAACATGATTTTGAAGGCATGCTATATTCGACTGATCATACTAATTAAATTAAATTATTTTTCCAATTATTTCATCTTTGGTCATAATATGTATATCTACATTGCCATGGTAACAGTATACAATAAATTATATAACGTTTTCTTCAAATAACTCCTGAAATGGGGCAGCCACTGACTAGTGGAATTTTGTGTCCTGAACTTCGTGTATAGGCAAACATTTTAAGAGAGTTTTATTAAAAGAACAACATTTTGTAAACGAAATCGTTAATGTACCCTCTAAAAAAGGAAATCCCTGGTAGTCAAGGGTTGGGGGCCATGAGCATGAGGGGGTCTAGCGGGCGTTTGTGTACTTCCTCTCGTGGCAAACACTCATATTTGAACTGCACAAACTAATTGTATTACGTAATTATTACGTAATTGCATGCTCTTTTATGATCAGAACCAAGAATGTCCGTTTTCAAAATTTTGTGCGGCAGCTTTCGGACCATGGGGGCGGTGGACGCAAAACCAATTTTCGAACGCTTCTATCTCTGTCGGAAATCAATATTTTGCCTCAAAAATTCGTAAGTATCCTTTGTTATAGAAAATCTTTATAGTGGAATAATAAACTTTTACCCATTTTTGCTCTAAAAAGGTTTTTCCAAGAGTCACGTGATTGGTGAAATCCAGGATATCTAGCAGGGGACAATACGTTGAACATGCTTTTCTTTGCACATGTTTTCGGTAATCAAACTCAAGTACGTAAAAAATCTTATCAGCTGGAACTTACCGTTGCCACAATTCGTGCAGAACCGCTGGGTCTGCTGCACTCCGAGTCCGCAATTCCCACAAAACGTGATAATGGCGAGTCTCGACGAGTCTATATTCCCCGCCACAAAGGAGCTTGGGTACTTCTAAGGCAACAGCCGCTGACCTATAACTTCCCTGATCGGCGTGGAGATTTAGAATTCGGTGTGAGCAATTTGAATTCGGTGTGGAGATTTAGAATTCGGTGTGAGCAATTTGAATTCGGCGTGGATCTTTAGAATTCGGTGTGGAGATTTAGAATTCGGTGTGAGCAGTTTTAATTTGGTGCGGGCATTTGGAATTCGGCGTGGAGATTTAGAATTCGGCGTGAGATTTAGAATTTGGTGTAAGCAATTTGAATACGGCGTGGAGATTTAGAACTCGGTGTAGAGATTTGAAATTCGGTGTGCAGATTTAGAACTCGGTGTGGAGATTTAGAATTCGGTGTGGAGATTTAGAATTCGGTGTGAGCAATTTGAATTTGGTGTGGGCATTTGGAATTCTGTGTAGAGTTTTTGAATTCGGTGTGCACTTGTGGGCCACCGTAATCTAGCGATCTATTGATCCATCGATCCAGCGATCTACCGCTCTATCGATCTAACGATCTATTGATCCAGCGATCCACCGCTCTATCGGTCCAACGATCCATTGATCCATCGATCTAGCGATCTACCGCTCTATCGATCTAACGATCTAACGATCTATTGATCCAGCGATCCACCGCTCTTTCGATCTAACGATCCATTGATCCATCGATCCAGCGATCTACCGCTCTATCGATCTAACGATCTATTGATCCATTGATCCAGCGATCTACCGCACTATCGATCTAACGATCTATTAATCCAGCGATCCACCGCTCTATCGGTCCAACGATCCATTGATCCATCGATCTAGCGATCTACCGCTCTATCGATCTAACGATCTATTGATCCATCGATCTTTGGTTCTATCCATCCAGCGATCTATCGTTCTGGCGATCTATCGTTCTGGCGATCTAACGATGTCGGTGCCTTAATTTTGGTGACTTCAGTTGTGAGGTTTTTACACCGAGGTAAAGCCCAACCGACCACTTCCACTCCTTACCATTGTCGGTCTTTTATTGCTATTTGATTTTGCGAGCTCTTTAACTTAATTTATTCCCAACCTTTTTACCTGATCTAGTTCCTCTGTATTTTCGCTTAACCACACAATGATGAAAACCTTGAGGCTGTAATTGCGGTGTTAATTGGAGGGGAAGAGGGTTGAGAAGAAGAAGCTCTTGTCTCGAATAAACAAAGCGTCCCGCTGTGTATGGATGAAGCGAATTTGCATAATGTGCTTCGCTTGATGGCTTGATGTAATCTCCGAAATCAAGGAAGGTGAAATTTGGCTTTGGTCATTAGGGCTTGGCTCGTCTAAAGTCCAGTTAGGTGCTAGGTTGCTTTCCACGTCCATGGCGATTGTGAAATCGATGAAGAAAGGACGACGCTAATAAACATGGCCGCGTTTGTGCCATGTTCTGATCGAACGCGACGAACTAGTTGAAAGCTGGGATTTGTGTAGCGTTAAATAACTCGCCGGAGCTCCTCTCAATATACAGTAGCATCTTAAGTTGTAATAATAACAGATATCATTGCAGTTTTGCAAAGTTCCAATGGATAAAAAGATGAGAAACACTAGGGCACTAGTAAACGTG